TTTATATCTAAAAAATCAAAAAAATTTATAAAATTTTTTGAAATAGTAGACATAACTGCTACTTAGCCTTATCTAACATATTAATATTGATTTTAAATTTTTTTACAATATTAGTTAGATATTGATAAGTAGACAAGTTAGCATTTAACTTTCCTAAAACAATGAAAGAGATATTATTTTTTTCATGATGTATATTTATTATATACAATATCAAATAAAGAAATGATGTTTATCTATTGGAGAAACATTCTCAAAAAAAATAATAATTTATATTATAGACCTATGGATCTATAGTATAGTAGTAATACTCCATATATTATCAAAAGAAGATCTAGGGTTCAAATCTATTTAATTAATAAAATTTATCATCTTTATGATTAATTGATTGGTTTCTAATTCATGTTATATCTAATTAATTAAAAATCAATTTTCAAATTTAATTAAGCTGCATAAAGATAGAACTTCTGATTTTTCCAATAATCGCAGGTTAAAAACAAGTCGAAGTAAGGAAAATTATATAAAAAAAGGCTTCTAATTTAATTTCAATAATAAGTCACAAACTTTAATCCAAATTAATAATGACAGACTTTGTCATATAATATAAAGAGAATAATTTTAAGCTGATCTATTCTTTTATAAAGCTTGAAGATCTATTTCAAGAGTGATGTTTTCCTAAATTTAAATGAATTGAAAGAGTAAAGGTTATCTGTCATAGGTAATAACAATCCAGGTAAAAATTATTAAGATTAAGTAGCTCTAGTGTAAATTATTAAGATTAAATTGAAATCCAAACAAGAATACTAATTTTATAGGTAATGAAAACAGTAGTACAATATTATATTAATAGCACATCTTGAAAATCAAATGATAATAGTAACTAGAATATTGAAGTTAGTTTCTCTAATAATATTTTATAATTACATGCTCTTTGCAATAATAGACTTAGTATATTAGATAGGTTTAAACTAGTGATAGGATTTCCTTTCTTGCAAAAAGTTCCATCTGATATGTAAGCATATTTCTAAGTATTAAAATAAATATATAGTTGAATAATAATGATTGATATAACTAGTCTAATAGAAATATAAGCATCAAATAATGTTAATCTACAGATTAACTATAAAAATATAAATAGTATCCTGTATCAATTGATTTTCAATTAATTTGTAGAGACACTTGATATCTGTCTGGATATATAATATATCAATAAAGATTATATGTCATATATATGTTTTACTATAAAAATAAAAATAAAAATAATTTATATTATATATATATAAGCAATTAAAAAAAATATTAAATTTTATTTAATTTAAAAATATAGTAGATAAAACAAATCAATATAAAGATATTAAATATTTGTTTATTTTAATTTAATTTGTAGATAATAATAAAAGTATTAATGTATATTTAGAATAAGTTTAAATTTGGTTTATTTATTTATTAGTTAATTAATTTCTTAAGTAATATAATACAATACAAATTAGTTTTTATTTGATAACATAAAAATTTATTAATTTAACAAATATCAGATGCTATTTTGAATTTAAAAACAAAATATATAAATATTGAATTATAAAATATCAAATTTTATTTAATTGAATATAGTATATAATTTTTATTCAGAATCTGATTCTTATAAAATAAAATTTGACAAATAGTTTAACTAATCTTGTATAACAAAATATCATGAAGTTTTTAAGCACAATTTAAATTTTTGTTAAATTATTTAAAAATTTTGATAAATAATTGACAGGTGACATAATGCCAAATAATTTTATTTTGACCAATATAATTTATATAAATTTATTAAAAGATTTAAGAATATCTTTTTGTTATTAAAATTTTTTTATAATTAAAAATTTATGAATTCCAATAAATAAATAAAATAAAATTTTAATATAAATATAAATATTTTTTAAAATTATCATGCTACATTTCGGGAACTTGTTGAAAGTATGATCAGAAAGTTAATCGAAGAATTCATTCACTCCAATAGTTTGTTGCATGAATTGAAAGATCGCGATTAGTATTTCAAACAAATAGTAAATAATCAATGCAATTTTGTGATTAAATATTTGAGCTAATTCGAAATGACAACATCTTTAGATAGATAAAATAATAACATATTACACACAAAATAAATAAATAAATAAATAAATAAATAGATAGATAGATAGATATAGTATGTATATATTGGATTTTTACAATGTAATAAAAGAGTAGCGGCCTGGTCACGCCCACGGACAGGTACCTTAGGAAAAAATATCAAAATAGTAATGACAATGAGTCTTGTCAGGGTGCATCGTTACAGACGTTAAAGGCAGTTGAGTAAGGTGCGTGCAGTTTCAAAAGTTCAAGTTTATCGAGAACAATAGAATGCAACCTTGGTACCAGTAGTCCCTGAGTTAATATCGTTATTAATATCAACCACTACAAATAATTTTTAATTTTCTAACGCAAACTTATACGATTTCACAATAAGCAGATGATTTATGTAGACACAATAGCAGATAGTCCATCCTGAAAGAAATATTCAGCCAAGATTGTAATTATCCTCTCGATTATAACTTCTATTTTTAGGAGACATCAAACGTTTCCAAGCCAAAACGTTTAATTCCGTGCCTATTTTTAGGAATTCGTTTATTGTTTGAATTAATGCGATGTTCAATAATTTGTTGGTGTCATATGTAACAATAATCTGGCGGTTAAATGTTATTATCATCTATGTATGAGTGCATTTAGAATTCACGTGGTTGTTGAGCAAAGGCGCAAAATGGTTTTTAATTTTTTCTTGGACACATTTGATATACGTTATTGGTGACAGGTTATTTGGTTACTTGCGGGATCGCCCCGATATTCGTAGATTCGCTCTCGCCGTAATGGCACGAATAGCAGCTGTCAAAATCCATGTGACTTTTTTAGAAAGAGTTTCCCTACATGATAATTGAACGTGAAAAAAGTCGCACAACATTGTCCAAATTTATAGTATTGTCAGGACAATATAAAATATTTAAAAATAATAGAAACAATACACGGACAATGTGGAATGATCGTGGAATCTCGAAAAGGCAAGGCTGTACAGCATCTTCGCCTACCAGAGAAAAAAAAATTTTTTTCAGCTTACACGTGAAGATTAAAGCAAGTAGCGTGTCAGAAAGGGTTAACTGAAAAAGGGAATAAAAATATGAATTTTCTCCGCGTCCGTTCCTCCCAGTCAATGCTCTATTGTTTCAAAATCAACGATATCTGAAATCACAAAACTTACATTATCTGACATTCTGCAAAATGATGAATCTGTATGATCTCATTGATCTGAATCCTAAATCACCTCATGTGTAAATGCTATAAGGGTCATTTCTGGTAATCGATACTGTTTTTCCTTTAGGGTCTCATCAATCCTAGCATTCTAGCACGAGCACTTGGCTGCATGCCCAAAAATTATCCGAAAATTTCTTCACAATTGTATTATTGATGATGACTACGTGCTAATCATCTTGCATGCCCGAACACGTTCTATTGAAGAAAACAAGATCGCTTGAGTTGTTTTATGGCAAATTGATCATAGAGATAGGATGCGAGTGGATTTCCTACGACAACTGACGCCATTTTGCATTTCCGCGGCATCCTACTTGTAAAGGTTGCAGAGGGTGGTAATTGCGGCGTTTTTCCAGTTTCTTGAAGTTTTTTTTTTGAACAGATGAAAATAAATTATAAAAAATTTCAATCTTCGTAACACGCCTGCATCCATTTTCAATATTCCCAGTCTATTCTTATCTCATTAGAACGCTCAAATTTGAATATGACAATTAGGAATTAATAATAATAGCATATGATAGCGGCAAACAAATAGTAAATAAACGTTATCTTCGCTCATCAAGGTGTAAACAAACCTATATTGTTCCCGTAATCACCACCTATAAAGGATCTACATAACTCGGACCAAGAGGGATAAACAAAATAAAAGAGAAAAGTGCTGGACCTCCGTTACTGTTTCCTATGGAAATTCATAAGAAACTGTAGTCACATGTGAATTTACGAGTATCAATGGACTAAAAAAAAGACGAGCCGTGCTACGAATCAACAATGCAGTAATGTTTTTTTTTCCAAAATATCATCATTGGTTCAATTCAGACAATGATTCTATAAATTCTTTGATAAAATAGGTAGAAGTCAATGAATAATCACCACGAATTGTACGTTTTTGTTGAAAAACTTGATTGTAATACACATTTTTGGTTTCGCATTCAAAGCTTGCCACGCAATCTCGAAAAAAATCATATATATTATAATAATAATAATAATATATATATATATTCTTTTTTTTTTTTTTTTTTTTTTTCTGAAAAACTAGCTTGGTAGATTAGTGCAGGATTGTGATTCTACATGGAACCGTACCATGCAGTCAGTCATCTTTCATAATAAAAATTTAGTTTATGACATGATGTCATGAAATTGGATAAAAATATCTCCATCCCCTCAAGCCCTTAAATGAAATCCCTTACCTAATCAGTGGGTGGCAAGTGATTGAAGTTTTTATTATTGTCGTTCGCATGTGGCAGTTTTTCATAATAGAATGTGAAAACAATTACTGCGGCTATTCAATCCGCCACAACTTTTCGGGAATTATATCCAATATCTTTGACGCCGAATGTGTGGCTATCACCTACATTTCTTACAAATTTCCACACGCTGTGTGACATTTGAGTGAGTGTACGTTCAATATCTTGTTACTCCCAAATATGGACTTTTATTTTATTATCATTAAATTTTTTTTTTTTTGTTTTTTTTTTTTTTTTTTTTTTAGAGAAAAAATACTATTTTTTTTATTTATATGGAAAGCCAAGAGAATTCAATGGCTTTTTCGAATTAAAAAAACCATAAATACGCCAGAATGTCGTTTATTTATTTCTCAGTTCGTCTACAACCAGAAAATAAGCTGTTTTATAATTTTTTTGAGAAAATTAGAACTCCAAACTGAGAAACCATATTAAAATATAATGAGTCATAGAAAAACCAATAATACATTGGTTAACAACTTGAAGAACCAATCACGTGCATGCGTCTTCATCGATTCAAGCGACCCCACTTTACCGAATCAAGTGATTAATGACGCACGACCTTTCATTAAGCTTCCCTTCCCTCCAACCATAGATCCTCGTGACTTAATTACCGTACTTCCCGATGGTCGTGTGCCAACTCGCGCTCCGAATGCCTTCATCATCTATCGTCGGGCATTCATAGAAGCGGCGCGAGCTGAAGGTTACAATCTTCCTATGACCGTAATCTCTTCAATGACCTCCCAATCATGGGAGCAAGAACCACAATTCGTTAAAGCAGAGTATAGAAGACTCGGCAAGGAAGCTTACAACAGACGAAATGAGATGTGCCCCGACTCAAACCAACGAAGGAAGAGAGAAAAATGGAATATGGTTTCGTTTGGAAATAAAAAAAATTCTCGTAAAATTAAGAAAACGGTGCGAAAATCCAGCATACCAAAAGGACAACCCTACTGTAATCCGATTAGAACTGACCATCAGCAAAACCAGCAACCATTCACCAAACAAGAGCAACAACGACCCTTATCCCCTGCACCCTCTTCTCCTACTGACTCGGTTGCCTCCGAAATGTTGAATAGTCCGTCATCTCCCGTGCCCTCTTCGCCTGCTGATTCCTTCACCCCCGAAATTTCGAATGGCAACGAAGGGAGTTCATTGGTATGCGATGGTTATTTTGATGAATTTTCATACGATCATTATCCTACTCCTGAGGACACCACTCTTACTTCCACTTCTGCCTCTGACGCTGGTAGTAGTTCCCCTGTCATGAATGAAACAGAATATCATCCCTGTGAATTCCAATTCACACCGCCGGAATGTTTTCCCGACGATTATCATGATTCTCCGATTCAATCACCCACAGACGAGCTTGAGCATCAACTCGAACCTGCTCCTTTGTACCTTTACACTACCAATCATGATGAGATTTATGAGTACAACACCACCGGAAACGCCCCCGAGGATCTCAACGAATCCTCTCAGATACCTTCCCCCGCCATTGCTGTTTATGTTTCACAAACCGGTGCATTCGATGACTATCCCCAAGTGCTCTCTCCCATGATTTATACTAACGCGCCCTGTGGCATGGGTTTATTTTATTACTAAAAAAAAAAAAAAGAAAATCCATTACGCTAAGCAGGATCATGATGTCGCAAAAACAATCTAAAATATGACATTCTGTATATATTTATATATAAAAAAATTCGTATATATTCTTTTTAAAAAATCTACACTGCTTATACATATATATATTCCTAAAAATTTTAAGGACATTTTTTCTTTCTCTTCTTTTTTCTATCATATCTCGGACATTATTCTTCTCTTTTATAGATAAAACGAACACTCTTCTCTTTCTTCTTTTTTTTTTCTTCTTTTGATACTATCTTATCCTTCCGGGGATTCTCTTATCTTTTCCAAAAGATTCAAATCATCATTTTCTATGGATTTCCTATATAACTTCCGAAAAAAAAAAAAAGATCGGCCGATCTTTTGCGAGGTAATTCTCCCTAACTTGAATTATCAAAGCAACTGATTTACGATGGTCGATCAACCTCGTCTTTCTTACTCTCTCTCGCGTAACGCCATAGCAAAGTTACCTTATGCACGATGAAACATTCTTGCTAGTCAAAATTTTCATTCGTAAGTTAAGATTAGATTAAGCATTACTCTACAATTAAGTTACTACTCTATGTATGCTATAAATCCAATTTCCTTAATTGGAAATTGGATTTTTTAAAAAAAAGAAATAAAAAATTTATGCAAGTAAAAAAAAAAAAAAAAGTGTATTGTGTCAACGCGTTCAGCATCGAATCTCACGTGATATTATGCATTTATTATCACGTGATAATTATAAAAATTGCCCATTTTGTTTTTTTCTAGATTTAGTTTGTCATGGAAGATGTCACAAAGTTCTCCGATAGTTTGGAACTTGCTGATAACAATAAATTTATCAATGACATCTCAACGGGAATCTCTGATGCCGACACCTCACATGCGATTAATGGGATTAGGGATAGGAAAATTATTTCATGTCAGAGTAGAACACTTCCGAATCTTCCCAACGAATTATTATTGTTAATTATATCCTGTCTTACTCAAACGAACAGAATCCCTCTTTTCCAGGTGTCAAAAGCTTTTCATAATTTAGTTTGTTTACCAATTTTTTGGCATGAAGTTACAATTAATAACACAAAGGGATTTGGTGAGAATGCACTGGAATTGTTAAAAGAAGTGCGTTCCCTGGATGCGAGTGCAAGCAAACTAGACGACGAATTTATTCGAAAGCTGGTCGTAGGACCACCTGGAAAATCCTTGAGGGGTAAATGGATATATCACTTTTTTCCATGAATATTTTAATACGAATGTGCTAATTCTTGATATTTTAGTGTTAGACCTCTCGCGAAATAGTATCACCGATAAGTCTGCAGCCTACATAGGTTACAACTGTACACGCCTCCAAAAACTATATCTCGAGGGTTGCATCTATATTTCCGAAGTCCGTCCCTTAGGGTTTCTCTCTGCTCATATTACCACTTTGATCCTATCGCATTGCAAAGATATATCGGATGAGTCATTTGGCGAACTTGCTGAGCGTCTCGGCTCAAACCTATTAAAGTTGGATCTTGATGGATGCTACAAGTTAACTCATGAAAGTATTGTCAAAATATCTCAACATCTAAAAAATTTAAGGTATCTGGTAATTGATGGTCAAGGGATTGGTGACCTCTCGGTGGTAGAAATATTCAAGAATTGCAAATCCTTGGATCTGTTTTCAATGTCATTCTGTGAAACTTTGACAAATGCAAGTTTGATTGCGATAATAACGAATCTGACGCCATATTTAAAGTTTTTGAGACTAAGAAAAGGATCAAAGTTTACCGAGGAAGGGTAAGTAGATGCATTCATCGTTCCCCAACATCGTCTATTTATTCTTACTGTTCTTTCTAAAGGTTTGATCCTTTTTGGTAGATTCTACAATTTTTTCAGAGGTTTATCATGTCGAAACCATTCATTTCACTCACTTGATGTATCGGAATGCCAGAACATTACAGGATTCTCTCTTAGTCAAATGGTGCAATCAAATATTCGCTGGCTAGGCTTGGACTGGTGTTGGGAGATAAAGGAAGATTTTTTGTCAGGTATCCTAGCTTCGTGCCCGAAATTGCAAGAAATCTCGATGGTGGGATGCTACGAGATAACGTGCGAGACATTGCAGGAAATGGAATTCCCTGAGTTAAGGGTATTAAACCTCTTTTCGTGCAGGGCTGTTGCACTCAGTACCATAAAAAAGATCTGTCAGATGAATAAAGGAACATATATAATCGACTATTATGGAGAAGCTTACAAAGACGAGAAAAGGGTTGGGTATAACGTTGATGTGTATGTGGAAGGGGAAGAAGTCGAATGGATGGTTGGCGGAAGGGAGAAGCGATGGGGAATGTTGAATGTTGGTGACAGCAAGAGATTCTTTAGGGGTTATTCAATCTAATCTATTATATTTACGTATGCTAAAGGCAAAGATTCTAATGTTGAAAAATACTATATGTTGTAGTGTGGGACAAAAAATCACCCTTTGTATTTTTACGATTATTTAATAAATAATTATTTAAACGAAACAATAATTTAATCGATTATCTTATTAATTATTTTAAAATTTAAAAAATCTTGCTATACTTTTGACATAAGATTTCAAAAAGAATTTGAATAGTAACTTGAATAACAAATAAATTAATTTTTTAAAAAATATTACCAATAACAATTAAATATTATTGAAAAATTTCATATGATTTTATTTGCATGAGATAATTAACAAATAAACCATACATTTATAAATTAAAAATTATTTGGATTGTTTATTTATGTTGTTTAATTATATTAATATTGATTATTATATAGTGATGGTTATAAGTATTGTATTATTGTATTTAAACATCAAAAAAAAAAAAATTAATCTATTGAAAAATACGAATGTTAATAAAAAGAACTTTCTATTCTAAATTTTATAAAAAGAACTTTTTTAGAAATTATCATTATTTTTTATACAGTATAATCTTTCACATAACACTTTTCAAAGTTCAAATCATGAAATTCAAAATATATAAAGTATAAAGAATTATTGATCATTTTTACTAGTCTTAAATAAAGATTATCTAAAAACTTTTTTATAATTTTTATTTATGTAAAATAATTATATGCAATAATTATCAAGGTAATAAATCACTTGAAAAAAATTTTTTTAATATTAAATATTAATCATTGATTATTACCAAATATAATTAAAAATTATTTTGTTATGATATAATTATAATAATAGTTAATTAAACATAATTACTTGATACAATATCACTTATCAATTATTCAATAAAAAAAATAAATAATTTGACAAATATGTATATCAAATTTATAAAATAAACTTTAACTATAAATTAGTATATATAAGTAATTTGGTATCTATTATTTATTAATAAATTTATATATATAATTTTTTTTAAAAAACTTTTTTATATAGATAATTTTTTTATATAAATAAATAAAGTAATAATATATATATACAGTATATACAGTATATATTGTTACTAATCAAATTATAATTTGATGTATTTATTAATTTTGGAATAAAATAAAACAATAATACATTGAATCCTAAAGTTTTATACTAGAGCTAAACTGTATATATTGCAAAATATCCATTAACAAGTTATTTTTAGATTTGTATATAATACTTGAATTCTTTTTTTTTGGGGGGTTTCCCCCATAGGTAAACATCATTTCTTTATTTGATATTGTATATAATATAGTATACATCGTGAAAGAAACAACATCTCTTTCATT